GGAAACTCCAACCGTTAAGTTTCTTGTGCTCAGGGGCTAATTGGGTGCTTTAAAAAATGAGAGAAATGCTGTGTTTGTAAAAGTTGGTGCTAAATAAGAAATCATATGTCCTTTGGACCATGTAAAGAGTCTGTAGAAAGAATTAAAGCTTTCTGACAGACAGACAGACAGACAGACAGACAGACACACACACACACACACACACACACACACACACACACACACACACACACACACAGACTGCTACACAAAGAATTTACTCAGGAAAACAGTGAAGAGCATACGAGTTTAAGTGATCTGAGTCTCTGGGTAAGCCCCTCCCTTCGGACAGTGCTAAGGGGGTGGGGCGGATGCGCAGGCTCGCAAGATGATCACAATTAACCTGAAGGAAATCTTCAACCAGTGCCTTTAATGTCTTGCCAATAAAAAGTCAGACTTTTTGTTTTACACCTTAATGGTATTGCCCACATTTAAAACTTTTATACAAGCTCCTGCAGAAACTTTTAACTAGATCAACTCAGGCCAAAAGTCACTAAATAAAGCTAGTCTAGACGGAAAATCTATGGAAACCATATGTCCTTTAGGCATCTGTCTTACAAAGGCTGCTGTGCTAGAGAAATCGTTCATAAAATATGCTTTTAGGAAAATCCTGCTGTAAGGACCATGGAGACATGCTTAAGAAGGCTGGGCTTAGAGCAAGGAAAGCCAAAAGGCTTCTAAACACAAAGCTCTCTCCTCCACACACATGGAACTGTCGGCAAGCACTTCTGAAAGGACAGGCCAAGGTATCTGCCATTTATATTTCCATTATTCTAGAAGGGGTCAGCAATGTTCAGCTATGTTCCTCCTGACTCCTACAGAAGAGTAGAACAAGGGATCTCAGAGCAACTCTGTTCTCACCCACAGAGAACTGTTTTGAATCATGCTGTACGTGGACGAGGCCAAAGAACCAGAACATTTTCTTCTGATTATTACCTCATCCTGCTGGCCTGCCAAGCACAGCTAGAAGGCAGGTGTCCGACATAAGTAACTCCAGGAAGACTGCTGTATACAACTGGGTGCAGGGCCCAGCGGAGGGCCCAGTGAGACAAAGGAAATCAGAGGGACAGAGGGACAAAGAGGGGTGCAATGAGACTGCAGCAAAGAGGATAGTTTGAAACTTGACTTTTCTGATTCAGTATTGCTTTCTGAACTAGACAGAACAGTCAGCGCTACCTTTCTTCACCAGGAGCACATTTTTACATCTTAAAATGTACCTTAATTTTAAGAAGCAATATGAAACACAAGGAAAAAAACAGTGGTGCAAACTTTAATGACAAAAAATAGCATTTTGTGTGAAAACTACAGATGGTATGTGTATAGTGGAAACTATGAAAGTATAAATTTCAAAGATTCCCTGTGACCCTTTTGAATATTATACTGAAATCCTTGCTCCTCGGGTGAGAGGATTTTGGGACAATATGGTAGCAATGGTGATTGCAATGGTTGCTCCTTAAAGTTGGTCAGTCACCTACAGGACTGTGAGTGGGCAATATATAGCAAGTGGCTTCCTATGAATACAAGGTCCTATGTAGATAAGAAAAAAGAAATTTATCAGATGCAATTGATGGATCTCAGTACACCAACATTTTAAGCAAAATGAAAAACAGTTTTTCAACGTATTTTTACAAACATACTGTGCTTTATAAATGAGCTTTGAATATGCTTATTGTCTTTCAAGTATTGAATATTAGGATGGTAACGGAGTGACTTTGACTGTTAGAAATTTTAAAACAACTCAAACAATTATGCCAACAGCTCTCATTATAGACTCTTAAAGTGAATGATAGAGCATTTAAATAAGTTAATGAAAGTCTCCTGATGAGTCACAGGGATTTTTCTCACTGCTATTATTGTAAGAACTAAACTATAACTCTATTTCTATGCAAGTCATTTGTGGAATATGGATTTTATTTTGACTTCAGTCCTAGATGTGTGGAGAGAAATTACTGCAATGGTTTTTCTAGTTAACACATTCATTAATGTTTCCCTACTACTTCTACCCTAAGAGGCAATAATTAAGATGCTGTAGAAGTTGCCTTACATTAAGTGTTATTAATTTAGCTATTAAAATATTTTCTAATACTACTGAGAAGCAGAAAAGCATTTTCAAAATATCAGTATTGTGCAGACATCTATTCAGTTTTTACAGGTTTTTCTCATGAATGGTGTTCTAATACAAGGGCAGGGGACAGATTTTCTGGTGTAGCTCCTTAGGCACAATGATTAAAGGGAGATTTACTTGAGGGAAAAATTTCATTCACTCTTGAAATTGGCTTTGAGATGAATCTAATATAAACTTGAATACATATGGTCCAGAATATGTCTTATATAAATATGCATTTCAAGTGAACTAATTTCATCATCAACCTATGAACAGCAAAATGCCTTCAGAAGTCTTTGTCATACCCTACATCATAACAGGTCTCATTGTAGAGATATACAACACACTTTGGATAAAGGAGATCTCTCTAGTGAGTATTATATGTAAGAATGTAGATGAAATATGAATCTAGATGACAGTGCCTTGAAGTCTGAAACCAAATGAAGGTGATATTTACATAGTGGAGGCAAATGACGTACTTGATTATAAAATAAAGTCATTTCTTAAATCATATTTGAAGGCAACTGAGTCCTCCTCACACTCTCTTAGTTTTCAGAGTTACGACTGCAGCTTGGAAAGCTCCCATAGCAGTACATCTAGCTCACAGTTATACAGTCTTTACCTTATTCTCAGTCTTAGGCACTGAATTAGCCTCTCCATCAAAAACAAAGTAAAATCCCCAAACTAGGGAGGGATGGAACATACTTAGAAATCTCATATTAACCGGTGCACGTTATTGGATCCCTATATGAGCAGTAAGAAGAATATTTACGCCTCGTCTTATTTTCTGGGGTTTAATTCCCAAGGAGGGCAAAGTTGGTTTTATGAAGAGCTGAGATTTTTTTCCTAGATCTCTGAGCAGCTGAGCTTAGGAGGCCCTGCCATTGGTTATGAAAAGCTAAATGTTTTGCTACTTGTCGTTCTGCTTAAATTATTTTTCTCTTCTTTGAATGGAATGTGTTCTTCTACAATTTATGGGGACTGATAATTTTGACTGGAAAACAGAAGTGGACATTTCTTAGTGCTTATGGGAATAGTTAAAAATAAGAAACTGGAGCCCTTGGTATTTGTGGTTTTGCCTATCATGTGGCTCTGATGCCTGAGCAGCAGCCAGAGGAAAAGAAAGTACCAGGCCGCAATGAGGCTGTCTAAATGTCTTGTGGCTTTAGATTTAGGAATTCTATCTTTGGCCAGAGTTGCCATGTGATCTAAACTTCATCTAAATACTTGAGGAACGTGCCATCAACGTGCAGATTCTCCCAGCCCAGGGCCTCTCCAGAGCTAACTTCCCTTCCTCCTCACTGAAAATACTTGTTGGACCCAAAGGATAATACTGTATTGGCAACAGCGTTTGGTAAGCCAGATGGATTTCATTTGGCAACTAAAGGGTGTAAATATGTGTTTAGATCCAGAGGTTCCCCAGACAATGCTTACAATATGTTGGCACAAGTAAGCCAAAGGATTTCAGTGTCGGGCATTCTAAAACTCTGTTTTTAAGCAGCAATAAAGTAATGACAAGCAGGCAAAAGCCATCAAACTCTCAGCTAAATCCTCAACTCCTTTCTCACATTGCTGGAGGTAGACATTTAAGGCACAGTCTTAGGGAAGGATGCAGCATTTACATTTTCATTTTAAATTTCCTGGCTTTTATAGACTAAACCAAGCCTGGTAAGTGTCATTTAAATTTTGCTTTTAGTGTTTCATAGGAGCTGGTAAGTCAAAGGAAAGGGAAAAGCTTCCAATAGCCCATTCTTAAAGTTTTCTGCCTGAATGAAATTCAGAGATGAAAGTACCATGAATTCTACACCATGAACCTCTGAAGTCACCAAAAAACATACCATCTAATCAGCACTGTCTGATGTGAAGGTTTCCCTATAAAATCATTCTTTTCTTACATAAAAAAATCATTCTTTTCTGACAGCAAAGGAAATAAAAGAAGGTTGTAATGAAATAGAAGTTCTAGGCTGTGTGTGTCTACAAGTCTGTGTGTCTGCCTACACTGGATAGATTTGTCTTTTCCTTTAGCTGATATCAATTTGTGTATAGGAACACTCAGCAGGTTCCAACTTGTGACAGTCTGCAGCTGACTGGCTACAGTAAGGATAATCATGAATGTGCATTTTTCACTGACTAGTGGCTCCTGGCCAGATGTCTGTCTTTCTGTATCAGGTAAAGCCCAGAGCAGGGATGGGTACTCCGAAACTCACACAGGCTTCCCCTGGAGTGGTTGAAACTTATCAATTTAGAGCCCCAAAGAGAACAAAGGCAGAGCTATTGGCTATTTTTTGTCATGGGACATGGGACAGGGAAGCAGTTGTGTTTGGTTAAGTCAGTGCCAGTTTCCACCAGGCTAACAGCAGCATATTGTTAGAGTTACTGCCTTCTGCTTGCATTTATGTTACTTGTGCTTTGCCGTATATGGATTATATAGATCCTTTCTTATTTTCCTTTGTCTCTTACCCTCCTGCAGCATCAGATATTTGGAAAAGTAAGATAAAGGGCACATTGAAAACCGAACAGAAAGGCAAACTGCAGCCCCCTTCTGCCGAGCTCACCAGGTCTGCCCTTCCTGACCTCTGCATTCTGTGCCCTGGTCTCGCCTACACAGGCTGCCAGGCATCTCAGCTGCGGCAGGACGGAGATATTTGTATAAAGTAGTCTCAAGTTTGCTAGACCCAAGAAAGAAACCACCGAACTAATTTTACTTTCACTTATGCCACACTGAAACCAAGACCTGAAGAACGAAAAACTTGGACATTAACCATGATTCATTTCACTGAAATTTCACTGTATGAGAACCAGAATCATTAAGGAATTTGCATGAAGCTTTTGATGGATTTTTAATTGAGGGGCTTAAATGAAATTGGACTTTATTTTTTTCATGTACAGCATGTGCCCAGAATCCTATTTTCATTAAAGTACATTAAGCATCATGACAACTCATGGTAAACCTGCAACAAATTATTAATTACACTTGGGGTTTTCAATAACAAGTTTTGTAACGTGGTTGCCTCCCAAGATGCCTTAAAAGAAAACCCCAAGTTGTTTCTATTCTTGGCAATTATACTTTTGGAAAAAAAATTTTGCTTGGCTTTCCAGTTGCTAAAATATGGTTCACTGAAATATCAGGATATCTAGTTATAATTTTAGAAAATATTTTCTTTAAAGTGGGGCAGTGAGGAAAGCAGATAGCTTGTGGCTGACATCACAAATCACAAGGTGAGTCCATTTGTTTGTTTGAGTGTCACTCAGCTGCTAAGAGTCAGACTTTAGAGGCCTGGTGAGCAGAGAGTAAGCAGGACTTGTCCAGGACAGGCCCGTAGGGACTCAGAGCCACGCCAGTCACACAGGCTCCTCAATTTCCATGCACACTTAGCCCCCAACTTCAAGGTTCAGCAGCTTCATCCTTCACGGCACCAAACCTTGATACGAGGGATGCAAAGACACACAAGAGGGTCAAGAGTTTGCTCTCACTCAAAATTTGGGCAATTGGCTGACAAAGACAAAACAAGATCTTACACCTGAGCAAAAGGGATTTGTGTTAATCGTCAATTATAGCAACATAGCAAGCAAAGAGACATAACACTGTAGGCCATCTAGTTTAAGACACCAGCTAAATGACAAGGATAACTAAGTGGTTTTCATATTGCTGAAGACAAGCATATGAGTGCTTTGATTGTCTCTTTACCTAGAGGCATTTATAAGTCTTTTGGCACAGGTAAGACACAAATTGTGAAAACCTGAGATGGCATGAGACTTCTTGTGTGTATCACATAGAGTCAAGAAGGTCATGGGCCTATGCGGGAGAGGGTCTATGGGAGAAGCCCTGGGGCAGTCGAGAGGGTCTACAGGAGGAGCCCTGGGGCAGTCGAGAGGGTCTACGGGAGGAGCCCTGGGGCAGTCGAGAGGGTCTACAGGAGGAGTCCTGGGGCAGTCGAGAGGGTCTACGGGAGGATCCCTGGGGCTGTCGAGAGGGTCTACGGGAAAAGCCCTGGGGCTGTCATGGTGCCCTGTAGGGGCTCTGCCTGTCAATTTCAACAAGGCGCTCCTCCTCACCAGAGAGCACTTCCATCCCACGGATGAGCTACAGAAAGGGCCACATCCCTTGGAATGATTTAACTTCGTCATTTTTAAAGGACATCATCAGATTTGGTGAAAAAGAAGCATTAAAAGAAAGTACTTCTATTTTTCAATTTTTTTTTTTTTTTTTTTTTTTTTTTTTGAGTGATGAGGTAAATGAAGTTAGCTATTCCTTGGACAGAGACCCTTCCTTCCACCCTTTATCCCCTTTTGAGTGCTGCAAAATAGCTCTGTCTAAGGAAAGAAGAAAAGACAAATGAGTGAAATAATGCCAAAGCCAGTTATTGCCAGGAAAAACACACCCCTATTGAGTTACTTTGTTCCGTTAATGTCAAAAGCTATGATTTGCAATTAACTAATTTTAAGAAGCTGTAACTGAAAATAGCTACATCAGCTTTAAAGTTAATATCTGATGAAGATTAGGATCTTCAGTGAAGGAACAGAGACCCTAAAGGAGTGGTGATGTCTGCTTAACATCACCCTCCTAAACAAACGCACACGGCTGGTGTGAATTTTCAAACAGTAAGTTTAGTCCTTCAGCAAAGCTGAATGCGAATATGAGCTGAAGAACAATCCAGATATCCTGGCAGTAGAAAATGTTCCACAAATCTCAGTTTTGTGTCCACTCAATTTAGTTATGACAGCAGCGTCCATACCAGTGCAGCTCTGTGGGACAGTGATGCTCTCCTAGCGCAGGTGGAGTTCATTAAAACAGCCTGCAGTTTGCACCGTTTCCTGCTCCCCCACCACAGGCTCCTCTCGCTCTAACCAGAATGGCGGGAGCAGCTGAGAAGCTGAGCCAGGAATGACTCCATCACCTCTCCACTTTCTCTCCCTTTTCCTCGGGGTGGGTGGGTGTCATAACATTGTTTTTAAAAGGCAGGACACTCATGGTTTCTGAACTGCTGTAAGGACTTTGATTACCTTTAAATGGGGTCAAAGTAAAAATAGATGTGCTCATAAACCTCAAGATCTTAGCTTCCTAACAAAGTTGTGGAGTAACCAGAGGAAGACCACGCACAGCCACACACAGAATGGCAGGACGTCTTCCTTCTAAAAGTTCAGGTATTGCCTTTGCAATGTTAAAATGCAGAAGGAGGTGGTGCGACACTTCTGTGTTGCCTCATCATATTATGAGTTTCTGCTTTCAGTTAAAAGAGGAGAAAGGTCCCTTAAGAAAGCAAAGAACATGAAAAACACATCAAACTTCCGTCTTGGAAAGCTAAGGACTGTTTTCCTGGAGATGCTGGATAATGGAGTTTCAGCTTTTTTAGTTTTTAATAGATAAAATGGAGGCAAATCATGGAAGAAAATAGAATATATAAATAAGTAGAACAAGGTGACATTTCAATAAGAGCTTTCTTCATTTTTTCCCTCTCTCTTTCTCTCTCTTTTTGAAATCTTAAACCCTGTTTCTGGCTTGCATTTGGTAGGATTCCTGTTCTGGCTTTTATTGAAAACAGACTTTATGTGGTCAGAATTCTCCATCTAAAGCTGAACTTTAATAGGCATAAGGATCCTGATGGAGTCGCTCTTGCTGTCTCTCAGGTGACACCCCGCCAAGGGGATTTCCCTCCCCACGCGCTGCATTGGCCCTGAAACTTGAAGGCTCAGCACAAAGCAACCAGCTTTTCTCTTGCACTCTGGACTCTCATTTCTGTTTCAAATTTGGGACTCTCTGCAAGGCTAGATCAAGGTAGATCTGGTTCTAACTTGACAGTGTTCTAGAAATTTTGAACTGTGCAGCTGTTGACTTGCAAACTCCCAGCACATTGTCCTTCAACCTGCTGTCCAGCATGGACTGCTGGGTCTCTGTTACAGCATGCAGGCTGAAAAATGCAAAGGGCAACTCCACCCTGCTTAACAATCGGTTTAGTATTCAAACGCTGATTTTTTGTAAAGAGCATTGACAAGCTAGCTTATCTGAAACCCAAAGGTAAAGCAGTCGTGTAAGCAGGCAAGACATGCATGTTCACCCCGGACACAACCACCAGGCTGCTCTGGTTCCTTCGCATAGCTAAACAGACAAAATTACAGATTTCCCAGCTCTTTTTGAAACTCCTGCCCTCCCACTCTCAAAACCTCTTCCCTAACATCTTACAGTGCACAGGGCAGCCATTCATAAGAAAAATGTCAACACCAATGAGGCTGAGAACACCACAGTATCATGAGTGAGAGGCTGGGCTCTGGAGGCAGATTGTTTGGGATTGAAGTCCAAACCCACTAGGGCTTGACCCACTGGTCTTGGGGTAGTGGCTTAACCTCAGTGCCTGTCTGTCAAATGTGAGCAGTGACTTATTTCATCATTGGGTTGTTTTGTGATTTTAAGCAAAGTGCACATTCAGAGCTTTGAAGACACTAACACATACTGAGTGCACAATGCATGCTAACTATTTCTCCTATGGTGTTAACAATAGAAATTTAGCCCAGGTCTCAATAAATTAAAGCCAAGTTAACTCTATTCAGAGACAGAAAATGAAACTGAGATTAGGACCACAATGGTGGCACTAGTAATAACCACAGTCCTTACAGTTAATCACACTCTTTCATGTACTTCCTTTCACAGGGTCTGAGCAAAACTCCTGTTTTTGTTTTTGTTTTCTTCTTTTTATCCTGTTTCATAGATGAGGAACTACTGTCACAGAGTTAAATGCGTTGCTCAGGCAGGATCTAGGGCAGCCCAGATCGTTTTAAGCCAAGCTCCCTGTTACTCCTTCTATACCCTTTGTCTCCTGATCTGTGATCCCTTCCTTTCATCACTAATCCTAACAGCCTAAAAGATAAGAGGTATGGCCAGAGGGAGAGGTTCCTTCACGTTCACGGGTGAAGCAGTCACTTTGTCTTTATGACATACTTATCAGCATGCTTTGTCTCATGGCGCATGTGAATATTCTAATGCTCTGAATTAAAGAAAAAAAAAACACTATGTGTGGGCTGATATTCTTTTTTAAAATTTCTGATTTGGGGAAAGAAGAACCCAGAATGCCTTACCATTTAAAAATTTCAGATTATACTTATTATACTTATTTTGATTACAAATTATCTAAAGATGAGAAAATAGCTCCAACTTTTTGTTTGAAATTCCTTCATTCATCTGCTATATTGGTTGGTCCTGAAAATTTCCCCTAATTGTCAAAACGTGTGAAGCAGAATATAGTGTGTTTAGCTTCACATGCTGCTGGTGACCAAACACTCATAATGTCTACATTAAAATTGTTGTGTAGTTTAGAAAATTGTAGCTCAGTCAGGTGGCCTGCACTCAATTCACATTCAAGTTAGTGATAGTTGGGTGTAAGAGTCATAGTGCAGAATGCAGTGGGTAGAATTGCTCAGGCCAGGAATTCTAAAATTCCTTGGAACCTGGAGAGCCCGGGTCTCAGCCCATGAAGTGCTCTTGGCCCTGGAGCAGCCAGCTTGCCACACCCAGCCACAGAGCCCTCAGTCAGGTCCAACTACAGCTGCCAAAATGCGTTCCCTGGGTCCCCTTTTCTTTGGTCCCATTTAGCTTGTGCCACAGGAGGATCTGATGACCACATTTTGGGTCTTACGTAACTTAATAAACTCAGTGACTTTTCTGCATCTCCCCAAGCAGGGTGCAAAGCACAAATGTGTACGGTCAGATGTGTGTGGTTTTCTTTTCCCAGTACATTTTGTCTGTCACACCATGCGAAGAGAGCCAAAGAGCCTCCCTACCCCTGCTTGCACCTTACCTGGGGACACTGGGTGGGGCCCGCGTAGGCCGGGACGGGACCTGCGGAGGGGCTCCGAAGGAGTCACTGCTGTTGGGAAAAGGAGGTAAGGGTCCAGGACGAAAGGGGACCGGGGGAGCCCCCGAGTGGGGGCCTGGAGAGGGAATGGCGGGAGCTGGTCCTCGGCCCGAAGCAGGTCTTGTGAGGGGAGCGCTGAGCGTTGGCCTCCTCTGCGTGGTGGGGCTTGGAGGAGGTGACCTGAAGGAGAAGGAAAAGGAGAAGGAGAAGGAGAAGAGGAGGAAGAGGAGGAAGAGGAAGAGGAAGAGGAGGAAGAAGAGGAGGAAGAAAAGGAGGAGGAAGAGGAGGAGCAGGAGGAAGAGGAGGAGGAGGAAGAAGAGAAAGAAGAGGAAAAAGAGGAAGAAGAAGGAGTCAGTACTTGCCCACCCCAATTTCTCTCTGAATTAACCTGTAAGAAAGTGCTATAATTTCCTGACTGCTTTTCAAAAATATTTTTGGCTGTGTAGTTTAGAGACATTTTATGCAAGTCCAAAGGTACTAAAGGGTAAATGGTGAATGTTTCTCTCCCCATCCTCATCTACTCTGTGGAGACAACCAGCAGTAGTTTCTGGCAGTAGTTTCTTTTTAATTACACTCTACACGTGGACAAGTGTACACCTTCAGTCTATATGTAAGTTGGTGTTTTGTACATCATAGAAAACAATCCAGAGTTCTATAACTTCCATCTTATAAAACTTCATGTTAATTAACCTTCATTTGGGAAGTTACTGAGCTGTCATGTTCTGTTTAATGGCTGTCTACAATTCCACTGGAAGGGTGTCCTGTGCTTATTTTTGAAAGGACAAGTGTTATCTGACCAGTTCATGCCCCTGACTCCTGAATGTGAATAGATTTTCCCCCTTTTGTCCTTTAGGATCATACTGGTTTTGGAAAGCATTTTCTGAAGAGGACACCAGCATGCATGGGACTGTCAGGGTGCTGTGAGCCCCTGCTTCTACCTGCGAGAGTGCTGAATCCAGGAGTCATCCACGGGAGGTGGGGCCGGGGTGGACACAGTGGCTGTGTTGATGTCACCGATGATTACTAGGGCTTCTTTCAGGGCTTGGTACATTCGGAGCATCTCGTCTCGGCGCTGAGCCTGCTCAGCAGATTCCTCCATCAGGGTGTTCTGGTCCTCTGAAGAATAGAGCTGTGCTAGGAGCTCTGAGTTTATGAAGTCTTTAACCTGTCATATCAGCACAGAAACAAACAAGTGGAGACGGATGAGTCACTGAAGTGTGGACACAGGGCTGTGGCATCTAGAGCCTGTGAACAAAGGCCGTGATGTCCACTTGCGAAAAAGAAGGCCCCATGCATCTGCTTACTCTTATTTTAATCATGATCCTCACTATCTCTAGTGCTGGTGTGAGTAGTGGTTTTCCCTGTCTTCTGTCTGTCAACACAGAAAGGCAACAAAGATGAGTGGAAGGGAGGTCAAACTGCCATCATCAAAACAGGGCCTGTTGGCTGTCCTCATAGTGTGACCTGAGATTGCCTGGAGTACAGGAGAGGGAAGAAGCCAAGAGGTGAAAGAAATGCTTTCAGTAGTAGATGGTGACCAAAACAACAACAACAACCCTGCGTAGTAACAAGTTTTGCATTCTTGGCACTCTCAGTTCTTCAGATATATATATATATATATATATATATATATATATATATAGTTTATTTATCAAAGAAAAGTGAAAGGGGCTGGGGATATAGCTCAGCACCTCAGCACCTGCCTAGCAAGTGTGAGGTTGTGAGTTCTATTCCCTGTACCAAAAATAAAGTAAAAGATGTAACACACTGTTACATGAGATAGCTACAAATTATCTAGTCACTTAATATTTCCAGAAAAGGCCAAGAGCCAGTGTATTTAATTGTTTTAAATCCAGATCAACAATAGAGACTTGTCAAATGCTCAAGACTTCCATTTTGTAGTTAAATTTGTGACTCAGAGATGGGAGGAGTCTAAAACACATAGCATCATTAGTTTTTAAACATTGTAGTGGCAAAATAGCGTTTCTGTATGCTTTTTGTATCTGCTGAGCCAAGAGTGATTCAAATGTGGAAGCAACCAAATGCAGTGTATATTCAGGGACTTCTCCAGTGGGATAGAAGGTCTCTGAGAGTTATGAAAGTTGTGGGAGGTCGCTTTGGCAAAATGCAGAGATCTTGAATGCTGAAGTTTTGAACTCCATACACATGGCAGTGGGGGGTGGTGAGAGGTTTTTAATCAAGTAAATGAAACAATAAAAGGGTTTTGGGAGAATTAATCTGGATGTCATTGAAAAGAATTAGCAAGGGTAGGAGTGTGGAATAGAAAAGATGTGTATATGTAAATGACATTATCAAGGCAAAACTAACTGGGCTGGGTGCTATTTGTTTTGAAAGGGCAAGGAAGAGAGGAACAAAGAAAACACAAGTATGGACATTTGGCTGAATGGAAGAATAGAAAATCAAATGTCACAAAAGAAAGCTGGATTTAGAAGAAAGGCAGTCAATTTTGCTTTAGGAATATTTTATTACCCTCATTGAAGATATATTCACTTCTAAACACACTTGCAGGTGCCCAAGGAAGCACAGACATTCACGCAAACCTTCCACTGTTGGGTGTGTGCATGCATTTGGAAACACTGCAACTTAATACTCAAAATCAGGCAATTTTCCTGGCATTGACCAACAGTTGAGTTAGCTTTTTTGAAGTTTTATATCTCACTGGACTATAGCTTAGGGCCTATTAAATACAATTTAAAGGAAGATTCTTCCAAGAATAGATTTAAAGCAGATCTGAATTGAGCATCAATTGTCAAAACATGAAATAAAATAGTAATGGGCTATTTCAGCATTCTGATCAAAGACTTGCCTTGACTCTTCAACATCCAAATGTTATGCACTAAAACTTGCGTCCTGCCCAAAATCTTTGGCAATGACCTGGAATGATATGGTGTTAAGAACATGAGACAACATGGCAGTGCCTCCCGTGGGTAACGAACCCAGGCTTTGGAATGAGACCAGCCTAGATTTGCCTCCTAGCTCTGATTCTTAGTTTGAGCCTCAGGTTCTTTGTGTGTAGAATAGAGAATGGTTTTAGCTTCCTTTAGCATTGTGAGTGTAGTGTCCTAACACACAGTTAGCATTCAATAAACAAAAGCTGCGGTTTCTTCGCACGGACTTAATGGGCAGAGGTACATGGAGGAAGACCGGAAAGCTGTTGCAACGGTACAGCAGCAAGCGGTGCAGTTACTTGTAGAGAACAGGCTTACACTTAAGTTTGCATTGAAGCAAAATTTCAGAAAAGACTCTCTCCTTCTGCTACCCTGTGGTGATATGGCTGGAGTTTGGAACAAAGATGGAGTGGGCGTGCTTGAGGGGTTGCCAGACACTTCAGGGACTTTCTGAGCCGTTTGTGTGTGTCAGTGTTATAGGTCCTTAAGTCAAGGATTCTGCAAGAAAATTAGAGGTCAAGTGGAGCCCTTGTAGGTGATAACATTTAGAAAACGCTGCACAGAACATAACAAACTGATTATACTTGGACGTGGGATTCGAAACAATCTTTATGCTTTTAATTATAACACCTTATAACCTCTACATCTTTGTATGGTTTGCAAAAATACTCTCACATGAAACCTTGTTCCAGCTCGAGCTCTCCAGGCTGGATAAACAGGCATTACCACACCATACCACACTGCTCAGTGTAAAGGAATGTGAGGTCATTAAAAACGTTCCACATGTTTTCCTTTTCCTTGGTTTAACCCTTCTCTAGCAACTTATAATATGTTTGGATTTTGAACTTTCTTTGTTATGACTGAGATCATTTTCATGGCTTTACCAACTGAAGGCATTTTGAGGATTTTTGTACAGTTCAGTTGCCAGGGAGATCATTTCTTTAAAATCTCTTTGTTTCTATCAGGGTTGCTTTCAGTGATCTCCCATGCGAGTGACACACACACGCTTGCCCTTCAAAGTATAACTGGTTTTAGGGATAGGGTCCTGGTTGGAATTTCAGATCTCATGATCTTCCTAGATGTACTTCAGGTGTCGGTCTTTCCCCTAGGAGTTTTGTTCTGCTAATGCCCAAGGCAATTTTCCTTCTGCACAAGTAACCTCCAGTTACTCACAAACATAATGTTAGGCAAAAGAAATGAGATGTAAAAAGACACATACTGTGTGATTTCAAAGTTCATAAATGGTAAAACTAGCCATGGGCTAAGGAACCAGAGGACTGTTGCCTTTGAGGGGGTGAAGGCAGGAGCGGGGAGTGAGGGACCCGGAGGTCCTGGTCCTAATCTTTTTCTTTAGCAGAGTGCTGAATTCTTGCACTGTGGAAACAGATCAATAGTCTAAATACTAGAACAAAGGCCTGGTATTTAAGATGTATTTCCCACTCCAATAATGACCACTTAAAATAACACTTTACTTCATACGCATTAAAGCTACAGTAAGTTTTGAAACTAGGGCACCTGTTACCAATTTTCCACCCAAGTGTCAATGGCCCAGGAGAGGGAATGTGGACCTCCAGGGGTCCGGCTGCCGCATGCAGGCATTCTGAGTGTGAAATGCCTCCAGGTTCCATATCTGGTTTTCAAAAAGAATCCATAAAAGCTTTTACATTTGATTCTGTATTCTCTGGGTTTGTTTGAATAGCAGACACAATGCTTTCAGATTTTTAAACATTGTTTTCAAATTCAAACAATCTTAATTAGATCTTCAAGTAAAATTAACCCTCTGGGAAGAGAACTCTGTGGCTATGTCCTGTGGGTGTGTGTGTGTGGGGGAGCCCCTCCTGTCTGCAAGGGCTGAGCTTAGTGTTGCCAACCCTGCCACATGCATCAGCTGGTGTGGACGTGCAGAGAGCATCAGGCTGATAGCGAGCAGACCTGCATCTCAGTCTGACCCTGCCACCCCAGCTGTGTGGGCTTGGGAAGGTCACTTCATTTCTCAGAGCCCCAGTGTCTTCATTTCTAAGATGGAGAAAATAATGGGTATCCTGGGGGTGGGGGGTGGTCACAGGGATTCAAACAGTTTTACAGGCCACTTCGCCACCTCCGCTGGTGGGGAACCTCTGGTGGGGCAGGCTGCAGAGGCATGGCTTACGTGGGGTGGGCTAGCACAGAATGCTTTGTGTGCCCTGGCTGGAAGGTCCTGAACAAAACTCCACTGCGTTAACTGTAGCTTGCCCATAGCCGTGGCCTCTCATAAACATGGGTTTCTTTGTGCTGCCGTTACCTGGTATGTTTAAGTAATGAAACAGCTGCTGTGCTTCAGTAGACAAAGGCTTACAGTATGTCTGAGGCAAGGCATTTATTGCTGGGCTTTCAACTTCTTAAACAATTCCATATGGAGACCTGAGTGGCAGAGCCCTTAATGTAAACTTTCAAAGGAAACTGCCCACCAAATTCTGAACTTTATGAAAGTTGGCTGAAGCATATTCCTTCGCAGAAGGCAGGTCAGCCTTTCCCATTTCAAAGAGGAAAGGCTGTAGTCTGTTTCTGGTTGAGCAGGAAGAAATAGAGAACCCCATTTTAGGTATTTATTGGTTCTGGAAAAATACCAAAGCCATTTATAGATGCAGCTCTGTTTGGTGGGGAGAATTCAGAGCTAGGCGTCAGACTATCAGTTTTTCTAGGGGAAAATATCTTTACCTTCAGTCAACTAAAAACACCAGCACATCTGCATAGTCCAGCACTAGGTGTCTGCTATTTGCTTCCTTGTTCTCACATGCGGAATGAACAAAAAGTTGGAATTCTGTCAAACAAGGAAGTCTTGGTCGTGACAATATGAGAACATTTTTTAAAAGAGATATAGTTTCACAGATACAGAAATTACACATGTAACTCGAAAATATATAATGTATGTTCTATATAAAATTATGTATGTATAGTGCAAAACAGATATAATGTTCAGGAAAAGCAATTATTCCAGATACATAAGGCAAATGTCAGGTAGAAACAAAAATTTACATTTGAAACAGAAGTAACTAGTTTCCTAAGAATGCAAGCATCACACAGCACTTTTACCTCCTCCACTTTCCTATTAATCTCTGTTTCAAGGTTTGACCTTGAAGCCTAGATCTTAATTGAAGTCTCCTTTCTCATGACTCTTCTGTGAGGTCTCTCTCGAGACGACTAGCAGAGCTTGACTGCCAAGGACAATATTCTGGAGGTGGGGGTTTAGCCATTTCATTAAAGAAAACAACACAACAGTGAGGAGTGAGGTAAATGACTCCTACGTCTGTCGTCTGTCTCTTTGTATGTGTGGGTATGTGGTTTGTATTTTTCTTGAGAAGGTGAAAGAACAGATTTACCATAGAGTTTTTTCCCCCTTTTAGCTAATTTGTGTCAAGCTACTCGGAACAGCTACAGACAGGAAGTGTTATTTCCTGTGCTGATAATTTAATATAACGCAGGGCAAAGCAGCATTTGAACTGATGGCAGTACTAATGACTCTTGGTAAAACAGTGAAAAGATAAATGATCCTTAATCAGGGAAATGTTTAAATAAGCCAATGCCTGGATATACCACAGCAAAACAACCTGAGTTCATTTAACCAAAGTTAAGAGGGTAATTTAGAAAATACACAGACTGTTTGTTTAGTGCTCCAGATTTTTCTAAATGGCTTACAGCCACATTTGTTATATTCTCTGACAGTTCTCTGAGGTACCTCAATGTTCTGACTAAGCTTGTAGAGGTGACTGACTAGCTCAGAGGGGTTAAAAGGTTGGCTTCAGGCGACACAACAGGCCACCAATCAAGAGTAACAATACAATTCACAGTTCCTACATTTCTAATTTATTGCTTACTTGTACTTAGACTTCAATGTATTCTGTTAACCTTGTTCAAATACATGAAATGTATATGAAAATAGTTAAAAACAACAACTTGCTAGAGATGGAGAAGGGTAGAAGGTACATAAAAAAACAAGGTTGTTCACATTATTTGGGACCTCTTAAGAGTCAAGAAATGTAGAGATCATGGACAGTAAATGGATGGTTACACTTAAAAATAAAATTTAAAAATCAACATTGATGTATGGATAAAAACTTTTCATGATTCTGAAATAGGCAACCATATTGATTTCTTACACTTAGATTTTCCACGGGAATTGTCAAATATACTGTCTTCTGCAACAAGTCACTGAGCCAGACATACTTACCATGACCAGTAGTTTACGTATGGAGGAAATGGACATGCAGAAGGTTAAATGACTCACCTTAGGTCAACAGAGTGTAGCAGAACTAGGTTAAGAGCCAGGTTACTCTTGAATTCTAGTTTGGGAACTTTTCACTATTTTACCATCTAAGTTTGATTTTTTACAGGCAATATTCACAATATATTGGTGGCATAAATAAAACAATATTCTTAGATAATAACTGGGAAAATTAATGACATTTTATTTGTGAAGATTCAGAAAAGTCTGTTCATAAAACACCTCAGTATAGCCTTCTTACCTAAAAGATAATTTCTCTGATATCTTATAGTATTATTTATACTTTGAAAAGTTAACTACTAAAAGATCCAAACTAGACTATTTAATTTAAGCATAACATTCAGAGGGATATAGATAAATGAAACAGGAAAGATTCTGGATAATCTAAATCCATTTTTTTCACTAGTACAGCAGGATACTTTGAGATTTGTGGTTATATCATCCTTAAAACAAACCTGACTTTAAAGTCAAGGGAAGAAGCAAGATTCCCTTTCTCAAGTTAAAATGGGCATTTTTACTAGATGAAAATCATATTAATAGATAGTGTATATGTGTGTGTGTAGAATTAGGTATGTCTTTCACCATTAATCTCAAGATCTAGAAGCCTAAATTTCCAATTTTATTGTTGGCTTTGCAATTAACTTACACTATGAATATAGTATTTTTGCCCTGCTTTGTTATCTTCAGATACACATCCTTCTAGAAAATAAACAATGAGAACACCTCAGTACTTTAGCTAAACATCTTGCTTTTTCTCCTAAATTCTCTTTCATTGATTAGTCACTTACCACTTGTAAAGGAAAAATGATAAACCCAGGTATTTCAGTTTTCCAATTATCACAAAGACAGTAAGCAAACATGCTCAATTTCTATACTTGGATGGATTAGAAGTTAAAGGAGATAGTTTATAATTACTCACATTATTGATCATAAGGTGCATTATCGTTTTGGGAATTAAATCTCGGATGCATTTGTTGATAATAGACATGTAGGAGTCCACAAGATTGCGAATGGTCTCCACTTGCCTCTCTAATTGTGGGTCCATGGAAAAGTTTTCTGTCTGTCCATTCTCATCATTTTCAGCCTAACAGAAAGGAAACAAAATAAAACATACTGTCATATTTTCTCTGAAGAAAAACAAGCCAGACATCAAATGATCAACTTTTGCTTTGCATACTTTGAGTTTACACCATTATATAGTAACATCCTTATCTTGTCCCCCATCAATTAATTCTGAAAATAGATCAAGATCCTACAGTTATTTTTCTACTTTTAGCCTGCCACATTCTAGCAAAGGGAAGTATTCTATGTCTGAATGAATGCTGAAACGATTAACCAAACAACAGTGTACCTAACAACGTACCTCTAGAGAACAATCTTAGCTTAAGCCATTTGCAAGCTGGCCAGAGAACTGAATCCAAACATATGATGCAGATGTAAACCTCTGGGAGGAGTCTCTAGGGACTCCAAAGATTAGAAATAACCTTGATGTTGTTCTGGCACTTCTAGGCCTGCTCTGGATTGGATCAGCCCTGATTTAAAACTAAATCTCTGAGGACTGGCCTAGAGCCAAAATATGAGATATAGAAGATAATTCATCCTTCCATGCATTTGCTGGAATTTGCTATGTAAATTCATGTTTCTGTCATCACTACTAAAGGCTGGCTCCATTGTGAAAAACTTACCATTTCAACTTCCAACTTGTTATTCTTTGACTAAAACAGAACATATCTATACACAAAGAATTTACTTGTGCAATACAAGGGACGCATCTGTTTTCTATATCATAGGACTTGAATTAATTAATTTTGGCTTATCCACCAAAGGCTGGGCTGGAATGGCATCTTTATCATTAAGGGCTGACCTATTGGCTTGGCATCGGAATCAATTTAGAACAAATGTTCTCCATTTAGTCAGGTTGAAGCATCTAAGCCCCCAAATATGATGCAGATATTTAATGGTTTGGCTACTTCTTAATATTTAGAGTAGTTTAGTTATGAACATTACAAGGAGAAATAATTTACTGTTTCCAATGTGGACATGAAGTACCTTTCTTTGGAAATGTGCATGCTTTGTTCTGACAGTTTTTCAATCATCCAATCAGTTCTAGGCAAAGCACTGCCTAAGTAGCTTCATTGCATCTGTACATGACCATCACTTCCTCTGAACCAATGTGCATGTGTGAATGGTATACTCACAGATCACAAAACCAAAACTAACAAAGATAGAAATTTACAACATTTCTGTAGCTTTCTTTCAGAAATATCTAATGCTTAGCAATATATGGTTACTGTAAAAGTTAACTGTCATATTTCTTCCTGATAGCATGACACAAAACCGCAAAGTTAATAGTATTAGGACATGTTTTAGGCATCTTACTGTTACAACAGCAAAGTAGAAAGAAGATTGGATATTTCAAAGTGACAGTTGTTGCTTTATTTAATTTCTTTAAAAATGGTTCTTTGGTGGCTAATGTAATTGTATAATTCATTAGTTTTGCTATTAGTTTGTGATACAGATGCAAGACAACGTGCAATAAATAAGCAAAAACCAGGGCCCCAAAATGGTAAAATGATGGAGCAAAAGTCAGCCATGAAAGAAATCCAGGCATATTCCCAAACTTTTTCTGAGGTATAAACAGCATGCCAACTCTGCAAACATATACCATCCTACAATAAAAGTCTAACCCTAACCCGAACCCTAACTCCAACCGTAACCTAGTCAGTCAATGTTTTAAGGGTATTGTATTAGAAAGTCAAACCTTAAGGTTCAAATTCATAGCCTCAGTTTCCTAGTATGAATGAAACTCAGTTTCTTTAAAATGGAAATGTCCTTATCTGGCAAACTTGTGACAACTAAATGAGAAAATGTATATGAAATTTAAAATGGTTCGGAAGGCCTGCATGAAGGTTAGTTTCTTTCCTTACAGAATATTCCAGATGAATTCAGAGCTTCTGACTCTAAAAACACATTATGTACATTAAGGTGAAAAAAAATGGAGATAAGTCATTTCCAATTCAAACCTTTAAAAAAGGCCAAGGTTCATATTTTTACTCTGTACCTCTAGATCTTTTGCAGGCAACTCCTTGCCTATGGCCCTGTCTGCGCACTACTCTGTCCATCTGTGAAGATAGCTCATCTTTCAAGCCTGCTCCATGGCCACCTCTTCTAGATAAGCCCTTTTCTGCATTTGCCTTTATTTTTTAGCATCCAGCTTAATTCTATCCTTTTTCCTATAGTAGAGGGGAATATATGCTATCAAATTCTATGCATTTTCCTATATTTTAGGTCAGATTTTGTTTATCTTTTCTTTTTCAGAAATTAGGATAGATCTTCATGTACAAGAGTGGGAGGAATTAAAACTAAAAATGGGTCTACCAAAGTAGGAATGTCTATTTATTACAGGAATGGAAAGTTGATCAGTTAGAGTTCACTACTATTTGATAATAATGAGGATGATAAAATTATTATGAAATTATATGTATGCATGAGAACAAAGTTGAATTCACAAAGCTGAAAAACTTTTCTGTAGAAAGCAATACAAATGTCAATAATGACTACAATACAATTCAGTTAGTCTCCCTTGGATTTCACTATTATATTTAGCAGTAAGGGTGATAGCATTTCAGCATCAACTTAGGGCTTTCCCTGGGAACATTCCCTGAGCCCCTACTATATTTCAGGTACCAGGCTAATAGAGCTGCACCACAACCACAGGGAACCTTATTATTGTCAATCTATAGAAGAGCATGTTGAAGCTCTGAGAGCTGAAATTTGTTCCACACATGTACAATTAATATAATTTTAAATTACATTTATTTTTCTGTTTAGTGTTATAAAAGTAGATATGAAACATCCATAATGTGTCAAGTTAGTTTTATCTATAAAGTAATTAATGGAAAACATTTAATAAGAAAATTAAATCACTGAAGTACTAGTAGTGATATTTATAAGAGATAAATTGCTGAGCTAGAAGAGAAAACTGGAACAAGTTGCATATATTAAATAAACCTTTAGGAATATGAAACATTAGAAAAATTATATCACCATTCATATTTTCCCATAGAAACACTGAATTTCCCTAGTTCACACTCTTGTTAATGACATTTAGTTTTGCTTTGCTTTTCTGCACAATTAAGTGTGCCAAGGATGCTAACTTTTGCTTTTGGAAATCAGAAGCAGTCAGTAAGAGAAGTATCGGAGTAAATAAAGAACACTTGTTTAATTCTCAACATAAAAAAGAAAAAAGTTGAGATGTTCCAAAATACCCAGTAAAACAACTTAAAATTCTCTTTTGCCTTGGCATATCCTAGTGCACATATGGTCATAAATCTTAACTATTTTGATAATAAAATGGACATGCAAGGGAGTCACATAATTCAGAATATCAATTTGATTTCTGATTTTAGAAAGAAGTAATAATGTTGAAAATGACTAAGATAAATGTGAAAGTGTGTATAGATGAAAATTTTTTTTAACTAATTGCAGGGAGCATAAATTCATTTTCTCTAATCCCAGTTCTAACTAAATTCTCTGTCATTCTTTTCTGAATGTATGCTCTGCATGACTATATTTTTTCTTTGTTTAAATTACAGGATTGCAATAGCATTCTTTGCAAGGCACTGAAGTGACAGATGTTTATCATTATCCTCATCAAGGGAATATAAAATAAAAATAGTAATTTGTCTCTGATCTTTGAGGCAAAAAAAAAGAATGGCCTGCAAACATTTAACCTTTTATGTGCAGGTTCATTGAAGCTGTTTACAAATGTGAATAATATTGTAAAACCCAGATTTCTTCTGAAAAATACAATAGGAAAGCCTTACTGAAAATTTTTTCTAAGTAGCTTTTGAGAAATCTAATTAAATTTAAGCAATTACAAAACAATAGTATAAATGCAAAACACTGAAATGTATTTGCAAAAATTATAACTCTTAAGAAATTATCTAAGAAACAGACCATTTTAGAAAACTTTAAGAGATTTTTTTCCTTAAAAGCTTATAATAACAGGTGAGGGAATGAAAGTGTTGCTTGAAAGATACTTTTCAATAAATCTTGAAGCATTTGTTATAGAAGTTCTGGGCCTGACTGACATACCTTGTCTCTTCCCTTAATAAGAACTATCTTTTAATTATATCGTAAGTTTATTTGAGGACTCCTGGAGCCATTAAAATAAAGCTGCTGACTTCAACTGTTTAACTCTGGAATAATGGAAACAAAATGTCTTCCCAATAACTTGAGCTTAACAATACTACAGAGCCAAAGGGGGATTTGTGAGGTCTCCTCTGTTGAATGGGAAGCACTGGACAGTCATTTACACAGCTACAGATTATTTTTCTAGATAATCAATTATTATCCCTTTTTATGTGTTATTATTCCATAACTCTCTACTGAAAGAATAAAATATCACTTGACTCCTTAGTGAATCTAGTCATTATTATGAAAACACTGTTACCATGGTGATGCACCTTTAAAATTTCCAGGTCCAAATAACTGAGAATGTTTTCACCTAAAGACACTATCCACTCCTAATCATTTGTTATAATTCATTAGGGATAGAAGGTCGAGAGAGAGAGAGAGAGAGAGAGAGAGAGAGAGAGAGAGAGAGAGAGAGAGAATGATGCTCTAGAAAGCCTTTGAGGGTATTCTAGGCTGTCACCTGGCACTTTGTGACAGGTATTTCATTAATAAATTCAGATATGTAGTGTCTGGTGTGTACTGTGAAAGATGCAAGGGAAGTCTAAAAAGGTCTTGCTTGTGAGCTCATTAAGCCAGAAGGACACAAAGGGAGGGGAATTAGTGAGTCCAAGATGCACTAACAGAGTCCAGTGCCCTGCGGACCACAGGCAGATGGAAATGGAAATGCTTGACAGAGCTCTGAGAAACAGAGTGAGATTTCAAAGATAAAGATGGATACTGAGGAAATGTGCTCGTTATTTTTATTTCTAGTACTTAGCATAGTGCCCGCATATAGGAGAAGCCTCATAAATATCGTGTGATAATTAAAAAACCCATCATGCCATTTTCTGAAGGCCTGGGTTTCTGTGACTGCAGGGAGCTGAGCGATGAAGATCTAGATGTGGG